AAAAAAAAAAAAAAAAAAAAAAAAAAAAAAAAAATCCTAAAGCAGCCACTAAAATAGCATAACAAAGAGTATTGGCTAATAAGCCAACAAAGGAATTAAAATGGAGTAAACACATATTCAATTGACCCAAATAGTCAATCCAAAGAAAAAAGAGGGGAAAGAAGGAGCAAAAAATAGATGGGACAAATAGAAAACAAATAGCAAAATGGCAGATTAAACCCAACCTTATCAATAATCACATTAAATATAGTCTAAACACTCCAGTTAAAACCAAGACCAAACATAAGCTCTGTACAGGAAATCTTATTTTAGATATAAAGACACAAGGCAAAGTGAGAGGATGGAAAAAGATCTTCCTGCCAACACTAATCAAAAGAAAGCTGAGTGGTTGTGTCAGTATCAGACAAAGTGTATTTCAGAGTAAAGATTATAACCAGGGATAAAGAGACATTGCATTTGAGAAGGGGTCAGTTTGTCAAGAGGACGTAACAATCCTAAATGTTTGGGTACCTACAAGTGATGATTAATGACTGCAAATGACACCGGCCCCACTGACAAGTGAGGACCTGAGCAAGTGAGACTCTTCCTAATTGAAGTAGAGGAAACTGAAAAAGATGACGACACAACAGACATTCAGAAGAGAAGGATTTGACCATTAAATTGATGGAGCCCTAGAGTATTTTTTTCCAAAAAGAACCTTCTTAGCATAGCTCTGTGAAACTCAACCTTGTGGTGAAGGGTATTTTACTGCATACAGTTCTTTTTTTTTTTTTTTTGTCTTTTGTCTTTTTCCGTGTCCGGCAACGGATCGCAACCCTCAGTGTTGCCCCCGTACCGGACCGGGGACCGGCAACGGAATTGCAACCCTCGGTGTTGCTCCCGCGCCTCGCTCAGCCAGTGAGCGGGAACCGGTCTGTATGTGGGATCCGAACCCTCGGGCGGGAGCTTCCCAAGCTTCCCGCCGTGCTTCCCAAGCGGCGCACTTATCCAGTGCGCCACCGGGCCGGCCCAGTTCTTTTGAAAAATGATGCCAGCAAAACAACTACTTGATTAGTAATGAAAAATGTGCTTATAGATAAACTCCATGTGTGCTTAGAGTAAGCCGTGGTTAAATAGTTTCCATGCTTGGCAGAACACAGGGTGAGCTTGGTGGTGTACATCAGTTACTCATCGAGCTTATAGTTATTTTATACACTTGTAAATGCAGCCTCTCATCCTGCACTTTTCTAGCTGAATTCCAGCCCAACCACATCAAGTACCAAGTGGCTTTGGACCAGTTGTGTCCAACATGGCGCCTCTGTTACTCCTCTTCTGTGAGATGAGTCTAATGATACTCTTCCCAAGATGGAAGTGAGCACTCAGCAAGAGGAGACAGATGAAAGGGTCAGAACCTCCAAAAGCTCTATGCAAACAGCAGTTTTTATCTCTCTCTACTGTTTACTGTGATGTCTCAAAGAATGCAACCACATACAAGGTGGAGTTTTTAGAGGAGGCACGTGTTGAGACAAGACATCTCGGAGAGGGAGATCCTGTTTCCTAAATAATGTGTAGAGCCAGTAGCATTTTCTGCAGCCTATCTTTTCCTTCTGAGTCAGAATGGAAGGAATTTGCCAAGATATTTGCCAGGGGAATATGTTGTAGAGACTTTTGTGATCTGCTTATCCCCCAAGTTTATCATAATTCTTAGAAGAGTACTTACTCTGTGTTTTACATTTGAAGCCACATTTAACTTGAAGAAGGCTGTATTTTTGTTTGTAATTGCTTATTTAGCCTACTGACAGTTTGAAAGTCTTTCAGAGCAGAGCAAATGTATTATTTCTTCTAACTCTATATTTATTTAGTGCTGAATGATACTTTATAGTCAGATCCTAAATTCAAACATGTTTAAAGACAGTACAAGGCAAGAAAAAAGATAGGAAGATGGATTGCAAAGGGAAGAAAAGTAAAAAGCTCTATCTGTTCTAGGTAAGGAAGTTATTAAGAAATAGGACTAGATTTATGGATGAGCAGTAGTGAGGACGTTTGCATTATTGATAAATATGCTTTATAACATGGCAGGCACTATAGAACACATAAAAATAAAAAGAATGGCACATCTTTAGCACTTTATATGGTTGATCTCCTTTCATCCTCCCAACAGTCCTGTGCAGTAGGTGATGTTACCTTCAGTTTTACAAATGAGGAAATAGGCCCACAGCTGTTAAGTTAGTCCCCCAAGTCCTTCAGCTAGCAAGGGGTAAAGCTGGATTTGAACTCAAATACAAATACATAACCACAGGCTGTGTTATCTCCACAGTTATTTCAAGATGAATTTTGAAAAATCAGTTGAAATTGTAACAGAGCATTATCCAGCCTAATGTAAAAAGTGATTATTTTCTTGGGTAAATCTTTGAGAGGAAAGAAGTAGCTTAGTGGGTGGGAATGATAAAAAGAAATTATTTGGTGAGGAAAGAATCATCAATGGCATTTCAAATACAGAAAAGTTTTTATTTCTGATAGAAAAGTATAAGTTCCAGTAGACCACTGGTTTTCAGTCTTGAGCATATATCCCCAGAGTTTCTGGTTGCTGAGAATTTGCATTTCTAACAAGTCATCAGGTAATGCTGATGCTGCTGGTCTGGGGGACCACTTTGGAGATCACTGCTATGGACAATTCAAGAAAAGGGTGACATGGTCAGTGTGTGTGTAAGAGGAATTGATCTGGGTAGCAACATTCAAGGTGCTGGGAGAAAGGCTTGTAGTAAAATCAGCATTTTTAACAAGTGTTTTAGAGCTGTGCAGCTGCTAACAGCAGCTGGAAGAGGGTGGTGGTATGGAAGGATGTACAATACTTGTAAGAACCCTTACAGTGTAGGTTATGACCATTTGGGGGGAATGCTAGCATCTAGAACAGTGCCTGGCATATAATAGATGTGCAGTAATTATTTGTTGCATGAACGAATGGATAAATAGAAGAATGGATTAAGAACTCCATGTATTGAAACTGCTTGGCAATTAATATATGTACTCCCATTCTTCTTAGGTCTCTCTCATAAACCATTTTCTTAATTTATCTTTTCAGCAAAGATAATTTTTGGAAAATGTTACAGAATACACAAGGAGATATACAATAAATTTCCCTCCTACACTTGTTCCTTTTTCTGGGTTTCTTTCTTTAGAGGCCAATCATTGTTAATGGTTTCTTGTGTATCCTCCTGGGATATTCCGTGTGTGTGTGCATGTAAATTTTTTAAACACAAAAGTGATATTAAATGCTATGCCACTATTCCATAGGTTACATATAAGGCTGACTCTCTCTTTTTTTTTTTTTTTTCTTTTTGTCTTTTTTCGTGACCGGCAATGGATCGCAACCCTCAGTGTCGTGTCCGTACCGGACCGGGACCGGCAACAGAATCGCAACCCTTGGTGTTGCGCCCGCACCTTGCTCAGCCAGTGAGCGGCCGGTCCGTACCTGGGATCCGAACCCTCGGCGGGAGCGCCGCCACCACGCTCCCAAGCGGCGCACTGTAGTAGTGCGCCACCGGGCTGGCCCAAAAATGAAACTTTTTTTTTTTTTCCTTTTTGTCTTTTTTTTTCGTGACCGGCAACGGATCGCAACCCTCAGTGTCGCGCCCGTACCAGACCGGGACCGGCAACGGAAAGCGGCCGGTCTGTACGTGGGATCCGAACCCTCGGCGGGAACACCACCACACTCCCAAGCGGCGCACTGTAGCAGTGCGCCACTGGGCCGGCCCTGACTCTCTCTTTTTTAGCTGCTCGTTTTATTCCAAATTCCAAACTTCGGAGGTTCCATTATTTAAGCACTTCTCTGATGATAGACATTTAGATAGCTTCTAATCTTTTGACATAATTAAAAACACTACAGTGACTGTCCTTATATATACTTTTTTGTGGAGAGAGACTTCCTCTTCCTTCTCTGGTCTCACCTGGTGACTCTCCTGTGTCAGTGCAGTTTACTGGGCAGTGGGCCATCAGCACAGTGGCTGTGGCTGCTGCTGTGGCGGCAGTGGCTGTGGTGGACCACCCACACAGAAGTGGTGTTTTCAGCTTTCTCCTGCCTTCTGCTGGGTGGTAGGGGCTGCCCCTCTTTGTGTATATGAGTAAATATACAGTTGGATTAAAGAGGATGTACATTTGTAATTTAATAAATATAATCAAATTGCCTCCAAAGTGGGTGAATTAATTTACATTCTCAAGAGCAATTTAGGATAGAGCCTATTTTTCCATATCCTCAACACAGAATGTTTCATGAAATTTTTTATTTTGGTCAATTTGGTGAAAAGTGAAATGATAATGCAGTTTTTATTTGTATTTTTCTAACCGTGAGTGAATTTTTACATATTTTCTTATGTTTAAATGTCCATTGTATTTCTTTTTCTGTGAATAGCATTCTCATGATCTTTGCTTACTTCAGTTGTTTTTTATTTATTGAACCGCAGAAGCCCTTTATATATTAAGGAAATTGGCCCTTTGTTATATGTGATGCAAATGTTTTTTACCAATATATCTTTTTTTTAAAGATTTTCTTTATATTATATGATTGTTATTTTATACTTGAACATATTGAGTGAGTTTAAAATTGTTATCTGCATTGTTTCTTTCTACACAGGATTTCTTAATATTTGGGATCTAAGGACTGGAAGGTATCCTATTCATCGTTTTGAACATGATGCAAGAATACAGGCACTGGCCCTGAGCCAGGACGATGTGACCATCGCCACTGCTTCTGCTTTTGATGTCGTAATGTTATACCCTAATGAAGAAGGATACTGGCAAATATCTGCAGAATTTGAAGTTCAGAAACTGGTGAGCTTTTTTTTTTTTTTTCCCCTTTTTTGTCTTTTTTCGTGTCCGGCAACGGATTGCAACCCTCAGTGTCGTGCCCGTACCGGACCAGGACCGGCAACGGGATCGCAACCCTCGGTGTCGCGCCCGCACCTCACTCAGCCACTGAGCGGGAACCGGTCTGTATGTGGGATCCGAACCCTCGGCGGGAGCGCCGCCACACGAAAAGGAGATATTACAACTGATTCATCTGAAATACAAGGAATCATTAGAGACTACTATAAACAACTATACACCAACAAGTTTGAAAATCTGGAGGAAATGGATAAATTTCTGGACATACACAAGCTCCCGAAACTGAGCCATGAAGACATAGAAAATCTGAACAGACCAATAACAATAAAGGAGATTGAAGCTGTTATCAGAAAGCTTCCAACAAAGAAAAGCCCAGGAACCGGTCTGTATGTGGGATCCGAACCCTCGGCGGGAGCACCACCACACTCCCAAGCGGCGCACTGTAGCAGTGTGCCACCGGGCCGGCCCAGAAACTGGTGAGCTTTTAGTGCTGGTCATTTTATTTACCATTCTTAGAATTTCTGGATCTAATACAAACAATAGTAATGATGTTGGCAGCTCCCATTCACTCAGGGCTTCCTGTGGGCCTTATGTCCACAACTCTCATGATAGCATTGTGAAATGGGTACATTATTTTGCCCACTTACAAAGAAGGCAGCAGAGGCCCAGAGCAGTTTATTGACTTGCCCCAGTTCTGAGAGCTGACTTTGGAGCCAGAGTTTCTTACCCTTATGGTCCTTGCCTCCTTCAGACTACATGGTAGGCTCACCCCTGGAAATCTGAGATTAGTTTCTGGCCTGATATAGAAGTGAAAATGAGTTTGGTGGTGTCATCCCAGTTCAAATGTAGGTTTTCATCCTACACTTTCTTCATCCCAAGATTGTCTCATGTGGAATTAAGAGTAACTTTTAAGTGAAAATAGATTTAAGTCAGCATTAATTGGGCAGCCATGTTCCAGGATATCATGCATGAAGATGAGTCAGCTTTCAGAACCTGTCACACAGAGCTTCTTTCAGAGTTCAGTTGTATGTTAATCTCTGTATCTGTATAGTGAGGGGTGATTTGGTGGTAAGAAGGAAGCATTCAAATCCATCTATACTGAATTTAGATTTTATTGACAGAAACTTGAAATTGGCATTGGTGGGAGAATGAACGGAAAAGCCAACACTCAATAATGAATTGATGGCCTGACCTGGACCCAGTCCTTATTCTTCTCTCCTTTCTCCCTGGTGGAAATCTTGTTACACTAGAATAACTTAAGCCATGGCATCACCACTTTACCTCCATAAGCTTCTGTCCCTTTAAGTATCAGATCTCTGAAGTTTGGAAGTAGTGTTCCCCCCCAAAATGCCTGAAGCTGTCCTCTCATCTTAGGGTTTTATTAGAAGAACATGAAGGTATCATATTTCTGTATGTTCTCAAAACTACCATAGTGCTTATTATTTGGTCTCTGACTAAAGAACACTATAGACTGGTAATAATTGTATGAACTTAGACAATTACTTAAGATGAAAGTACCTCAACAAAGTGTAAATCCAACCTTGGTAATAAGGTGGCATCCTGGCATAGACTGAAAGCTTTTTGAAGTAGTTTATACCTCCCAGCAAATGGCACAACCACTGTCAATCTGAGCCTTTTGGTCTGTGAAAAATCCAACATAAAGATGAAGTTAAATGGCTAGATGGAGGATGTCAGTTTTAGGAAAATAAGAAGTGATTTTTAGGAGCGAGAGGAAGCAAGCAGCCACTGCTGGAAGCGTGTTTTATAACACTTTTTATGTATTATTTCTCACCCTGAGTGAGGGGTTGCCACAGAATGTGCCAAGTATCCCTGGAAAAGGTGATACCCCCTAGCCCATAGAGCTGGGCCATTTTTGTCTTCCCCAGATACACTCCCGGAATAGTGATGGCAGTGTTCCCAGGGCTGTGATGCTAACCTGGAGCATTCGTCCTTTGTGATGGACCCACGGCTTGGGACATTGGGCCATCACTCATGCTTTTGGGCCCAAGGATTAGCAGAGTCACCCAGACACTTACTCTCTCAAGCTCCTCTGGACAGTTGTCAGGATTCAGGCCTTTGAATTCATTTGCATATTGTCAGGGCAATGCTGTTCTTACACTGTGGATTTTCATAATTACAAAGCGTGGATCACCTTCACATCTGTACTCTTGTAATTTACTCAAGGAGGTGAAAACCTGCTGTCAATTGCACTAGGGAGAAATGTGCCACTTATGGATGGAGAAAAACAGATTGTTCTCAAAGTCTCCTCATGCCTGTGCAAATTAGAGAAAATGCTAGCAAAAATGCAGTCAGGAGTACTGTGGTAGTAGCGGCCTTCCTACCCTCTGATGGCACACCAGTGGTAAGTGGGATCTATAAATTGGTTGTCTGCCCTTCACTTCCAGCCTAGTGTGTCATTGGACTTCCTAATCTCTACCAATATGATAGGTGAAAAATGGTATCTCACCGAATTTTTACTTTGTATTTCTCTTTGTAGGAGTGTGTTGTGTTTATCTTACTACGAGCATATTTTCATTTGTGTAAGAGCTGTTTGTGTTTCATTTCCTGTTAACAGTCCCATTGCTCGACTTTTTCTGTTGGGTTGCTGGTCTTCTCATTGATGTGTAGGAGGAATTGCATATTTTTGACCAAATTAGTATGAATTTGTAGGACTAAACAACTCTTATCCTTTAACAGGTTGACTACCTTGAAATAGTCCCAGATACTGGAAGGTACCCTGTGGCAGTAGCTACTGCTGGGGATCTGGTATACCTGCTAAAAGCTGAAGACTCTGCCAGAACTCTCCATTACGTCTATGGCCAGCCCGTCACATGTCTAGATGTCTCAGCCAACCAGGTTGCTTTTGGCGTAAAGAGTCTGGGATGGGTGTACGAAGGAAACAAGGTACAAAATGGGCAAGATGTACAATGAACAAAAAAGAACATACTTTATTTTTTTAGAAGGCAGTTGAAAAATTAAAGCTCTGATTTTTTTCTTTTCATGGCCTGTATTAGGGCAGTATATCATCATGGTTAAAAAAAAAAGGGCAAGCACTTCAAAAGGATATAAAATGAAAAATAATTGTTTCCTTTCTTCTCCCTTCCCCAAGCCCCACTGCACAGAAGAAACTGAACAGTTTTTAGGTAGCTGTCTAGAAAAATTCAATGCATATATAGGTACATTTGTATACTATAACCTTATCTTTGTAGAAATGGGATCATAGTATACATAATGTCCTGTACCCAGTGCTTTTACTCCATAATATACCTTGGAGAGCATTCCATGTCAGCATATACCAAGCTCCCTCTCCCTAGGGTTCCAATGTGTGCTTACAGCTTATAGCCTGTTTGGCTAATCCCCTCACTGGTGGGCATTTAGGTTGCCTCCACTCTTTTGACTATTATAGGCAATGCTACAATATATATTGCAACTCTTACAGGTTCTTGTGTAGTATATCTCCAGGATGTGCATTTGAGAGGTTGATGGGCATTGCCAAATTGCCCTCTGTAAAGGCTGCATCAAAATTTACGTTCTCACCAACAGTGCATAAAAGTGCCTTCTTATACTCTTTGAGCTCAAAGCAGGGAGACAAGTTTTTAATTGAAATTCTTTGAATGATGACAAAATTTTATCACTCCCTAGTATTTTACTATCCTGACTGTAGGCCAAGTACTTAGTCTTAAAGCTGATTTATAGAACTCTCTTTTCCTTCCAGCAGGATCAGAGGAGGGAGAGAGGGATGAAGTTTTTGTTTTGTTTTGTGTTTTTTCCAATTTGTCCTGACCCTGCTGGCAGTTGTTGGGATTCCTGGGAAGGCACATCTCTGAGCCAGCAGCTCCTTTGACCACATCCTTCTCCTTAGGAAGGAGGCCGCTTTTCCACGTAGCAGTATTGCGAACTGGAGAAGAACCAGGTTCTGGACACACATTGCCTGCCTTTAAATCCCAGCCCTAGTACCTTTTACCCTATGTAGTCTTAGGCAGGTTGCTTAGCACTCTTATGTCTCAGTTTCCTCATTTGTGAGATGGAGTTCACAGTAGTAGCTACTTCATAGAGCTGTAGTGTTGGACAATAGGATGTGACGCTTGAGGCACAGGGCCTGGCACGTTACAGTTAGCTATCATCATGTGCTTCCTGCTGTTTCCACACTCATAGTTTGACTCAAGCTGCTGGTGGTGATTTTTACATCTTATTTCCCCTAGGTGTTTGATCTGTAAGGTCAGATTTCATTTATGTAGGTGTCACTGGTTTTGCAACCAATAAGTGCTCAAGAATTGAAGCCTCCTGGATTCCAGTTATATCTTCATCCAGGAAGGCAGATCAAAAAGTACTATGAGTGGTGTAGTGTAATCTGTGTGCTTGAGTCAGCCTATTTTGTTGGAGCATATCCAGAGTATTTTAGCTGCAAAATCTCTGATGGTATAGCTCCTGAGTTTTGTCTTCCCAGGAAGTGGGGGAAGGGGCAGAAATTGGTTTCCTAAGGCAGTTTCCCTTCTGGAGCTCTGAAAAAAACTTTCTTTCTGATCCTTGATGAGTTCATTTGTTGAGAGAGGAAGGACTATGGGCTTTCTAATTTTTCATCGGTTATATGTTCAAGTTTTTGTTATCTCATTTACTTTTAGAATTCTTAGTGTAGTGAGGTAACAGTTATGTTTCATACTAGTCAGGTTTAAATTTTTCATATTTTTAATATAGTTTTCATCTGGTAGGTCTCATTTCTCTTTGATTTATCTGAATGGATTTATTTCTGTATTAATACAATCACAGTGGATATATTTGAGAAGCTAGTTTAAAGGGATAGTTCAGCACAGAATTAGACTGGGAGGATCTTTAGATACAGATGTAAGAAGACATTTTTTTAGATGCCTCTCAAAAGTTCCAACTCAATTAAAAGCATTAATTATAAGAATCAGCTGACTAATACATTAATTTTATGAAAATTCACATTTAAAAATGTGTAATCCCTAAAATAACTTGTTACCTGGTATTTTTCATTGATGTTTTAAAATTAGGAATGTAAGTAAATTTGCTATAAGAATGTTTCTAAATATCTCTTTGAAAGCTGACAGTAGCATTTAGTCATCCAAATGTTTTGTGAGAATGACACCAAACCTCCGAACACTTGTGTGGGTGAATGGCTGGTTGTTAGCAGAGCTGGTAATAACTTTGCATTGAGATGTTTCTCCAACATGAATGCCACCCACTCAAAAGTAAGATGAATGCCAAGCTTCAGCTATGTAACTTTTCTTACTTTTTTGCATAGGCGAGACTTTCCATCTGATTATGTTTAATGGATTTTCTGCTTCCTCAGAAAAACCTGCATTTTTTTTTTTTTTTTTTTTTTTTTTTTTTTTTGTCCGGCAACGGATCGCAACCCTCAGTGTCGCACCCGTACCAGACCGGGACCGGCAACGGGATCACAACCTTCGGTGTTGCGCCCGCACCTCGCTCAGCCAGTGAGCGGGAACCGGTCTGTATGTGGGATCCGAACCCTCGACGGGAGGGAGCCGCCAGGCTCCTAAGCGGCGCACTGTAGCAGTGCGCCACCGGGCCGGCCCGAAAAACCTGCATTTTAAAGAAATGTAATTGTCATGTAATATTTCCATGTGAATTAAGCCATGTCATGGGTAGTTCTGTGAGATTTCAGTATCATCCTGCTATGCTATAATGTGATGTCATAATTCCCAAATAGCCTCATGTGACAGTCTCAGTGTCCCTTTACCTACTAATACCATGTTTTGGCTATATCTGTTCATCAGCCTGGTGGCAGCATGTGTCCCAGCACATTTTATTAGGTTGGTGTGAGTCTATTAGCAGTGGAGATTGCCTGGAGCTATATACACACTGGGATTTGTGTCTGTGCCTCTGGCCTGTGTATACAGGATTCAGATGAAGGCTTTATGAGAACAGAGAGTTTGGATTATCTTCGTTTGTACCTGATACAGAACTGAGGTTTAGCTATAGTTCATTATTGATTAACTGTGATAAAAGCAGACAGTGAAGTCCAAATATTGAAATAGAATTTTAGTCAGGAACTTAAATCTCTCTAACCTGTAGAAGTATTCTAGGGGTGTTCTTTTTGTTTAGTTGGAGAATATCCTTGCACCATATGATGACCACATTAGCGTTTTATAGGTACCACAGCTGCATGAGAATCGAGTAATAATGGATCAAATTCACCCACTCATGTACATAGCTAGCCAGCCTGTCTTGTATTCATCACAAATAGTTTACTGAGCACCAGTTGTGTTCCTGTCATTAGAGTGTTAAAACAGCATTACACACAGATTTCAAAAAACTGGTACTTGTCAAGTAACCTGGCTCTGTTAATAAACATAATTTTCTAAGGAAACAAAACCAAGTAATTTAGCAAAAGCTTATCTACTTAATCTTTTTTTTTAAAAGGGCTTGGGGATATAGCTGGCTGATTAGTCACCTCCAGCTCAGCTAGGAAGGAATCAGAGAAAGTTAGTGCTCTGGAATGTCTTGGTGTGCCTCTGGGGCAGGGTTTCCCAGACTTGGATTTCAGAGGTCAGAATTAGGAGCCACACTTGGTTTTGCCAGCATTTTCTTTGGCTACATAAAGTCATAGAAAATGACTGTCACTGTCACCCTTTCTTAAAAGGTCAGATTTTTAATCATCTAAAAAAAAAAAGCATTTTTTGACTAGGTAATGCATTCACTTGATTCAGAAATCAAAAGATAGGATGGAAAGGTGTTCAGAGGGCAGATGGCCCATGCCTTTCAACCTGCCACCCAGCTTCTCTTTCTGGAGCCAAATCAATGTTGCCAGTTTCTTGTGCATCCTTTCCAAATAGTTTATGCACTTTTGTTTTTTTTGCTGGCCAGTATGGGATCCAAACCCTTGACCTTGGTGTTACAACACCATGCTCTAAACCAACTGAGTTAACCAGCCAGCTCCAAATAGTTTATGCACTTTTCAGCAAATTACCATATCTGCTCTCAATCCTCTCTTTTTAAAAATGTAATTGGTAAAGTACTATATTATTGTTTTGCACCTGTTTCTTGCAACAAAATCTCCTGGAGATTATTTCTTGTGATATAATAAAGAACTTTCTGGTGTTTTTGGTTTTTTGCAGCTTTATAATATTGTACATTGTGGATGTGCCTTAATTAATTTGGCTAGCCCCCTATTGATTGTTGTTAGATTGCTCCCAGTCCTTTGCTATTATAAACAACACTTGGTCCACAAGAATGTATTTGTAGGATTAGTTCATCAAAGTAGACTTGCTCAGTCCAGGGTATATGTGCCTTCATAATTCTGATATTGCCCTCCATAGACATTGAACCTTGGGCAGTGGTGGATGACAGTATGTTTCATTCCCCTAGCAGTTCCTTGACATCTTTTCTCATAGGCTTTACAGCAAGATCACAACAAAAATGAGGCCAGGAGGGACATACAGAGATCTGAGTGATCTTGCCTTTCATTTTAATTATTTTGCAGCTGTCTGCTTTTAGGATGAATGACTAGACCACATGGCTTCACCTAGAATCAGTGCAGTGGGATTGACAGCAGTATCAGAACTTTGTTATGGTGGCAAGAGATACAGCATATACTAATATGTGCCGTTTCTTGGCTTATTGGTACCCATTTGAGGGAGAGTTTGTGATTTTTTTAAGATGGTAACCTGATCTACCTTTTTTATCTTCTGTAAAATGCAGAGAATTAGACACATGACTTTTGGGCTCCTGTCCAGCACCCACATTCCTGGATTCTTTAAGTGATCAGGTGGTTTAAACTTTTTGTTACCTGTGCAGTCGTGTTGAGCTGATCTACTATTGGAGGATGCTGAGTAGCTGAGAGCTGCAGAAATGGGTTGAGGAATCCATTGCTCTACCATTTCTTCTCTAACAAGATCCCCAAAGGGCCATGCTTATTGCTG